TCCATTCTTTATTCATGTCGCTTTGTAGTTTAGCATGCAGTCCAAGATTGTTAACGTTTCAATCCGACAGCGAAGTTTTCCATTTGAAAACATAATCCATGGATATGCTAAACTAAAGTAATCTTGTTGCTTAACAGACCCACATGGAGGGGTGATGGAATGAATAGATGCAGATAAATGTTCATTAGAGTTTGGAAATTCATTGAAGGCATTGTTTACCGTAGGTTCCTGTGTGTTTTCATCAAACTTCCTCAGCTCAGTCTCTTTTTTCGGAGCTGTTGCTGTCGTTGATTTCAACCATTGCCAAATACTTGCCTTTTCCTCCGGCTCTAGCTTTTGAAGCGTGGAAAACATCGTAATTTATTTCATTTTGCTTGGTGGAACTGTTGAGTTTTTACGAGGTACAAGTTTCAGCTTGCACATCTATGTCTTCATTTAAATCTTCAAATGGTCCGAAAAAGTCCAACAATATACATGTTTTACTTTTTTAGACATATTCACAGTGTTGATTTAAGCAGTCATTATTTTTGCAGTAAATATTTGTTGGTTACTTGCGCCCACGACACTCAATAATCATAAGCAGCCATAATTAGTCCTTCGTGTAAGTTTTAATCTAAGTTATTCTGTTTGAAACCTACACAGCATAAATGGATGATAGTGGCATGATCGTGTGAAACAATAAGACAAGAAAAATTATCGACTTATCAAGAACGTAATTTTAATAATTTTTGATTGTACTTCATGAAAATATAGTGAAGTTTTTGTCAATAGTGTCCTTTTAAAATTACCCATTCAATAGTAGAAGGGGGGCTCAGCCCCCCCAGAACTTGAAGAAAGGGGGCTCCTCCTCCAAGCGCCCTCTCCCCACTCCTACAGCACTGGGTAAAAGTGATAAGTTAATAGTTCTTAAAAGAACAGTTTTAAGCACAGAACACAAACTCAATAGTTCTAAAAGAACTGTTATGAAACTAAACGACACGATGCATTTCGGCAGACAACTCCTCAGGTGTCAACGTCTGCTAAATGAAAATTTTAAAATCTACCTATATTTATATTGCCAAGAAAGAATGTACGTCATCTCCAGAGGAGGAAATGACGCTCAAAACAGGAATAAATTGAAAACATAATCCTTTTTGTTGGCAGAGGACGAGATTGGTTAACTTAATTAAAACAGCCTCCATGACGCGTAACTGAAAGAATGAACGGTATTTCTTAATGATTCTAAAATTGTTGTCTGAATAAAAATCAGCAAAATGGGAGTTACTCAAGAGATGCTTGCCTATTGCGGAGTCACATGAAACTGTACGAAAAATAATTTAGTTTCGCCTACCCTCATGGAGGCTCTTTTAATTAAGTTAACCAATCCCGTCCTTTGCCAACAGAAAGATTAAATTTTTCCCAGGATTTAGCGTAATCTTCCCTTTTGGAGATAACGTACTATAAAGTATTACTTACAGCTGTTTCTTTCAGCTTATAACTGACGTCAGTGAGGTAACTTTTTTGTTAAGGCGTCTTGCTTTTTGTTGGGTCGACTTAAGTTTCTTTTTAAGTTTTGAAACCTTTTGCTGATGAATATTCCTCATTTCCTCTCCTTCATGGTCTTCAACCATTGTCTTCTTCTTTGGAGGATTGTCATCGTCACTCTCGACAGTCCTAATTAGCGGTCGCTTTCTCGTCGTGGTGGTCTAACAGATTTAAATGTTTTCTGAACATGTTGGTGAAATTTTTGATCTTGCAGACAGTCGAAGTTGGTTTTATCATGTTGCTGTACGATGCATGCATATCGTGCAGCAGGCAGAACTAATTTTAGTTACATTGTGCAACTTAGTGTGAACTATTACATGTATATAGTTATGCAATATAATAAACTTTTAAATAGTAATTTTTTTCCAATCTTTGTTTCTAAAAACTATTATCCTAAATATTTCTTTAATTGTTATTCACCTTTTTCATATGTTGTGCAAAGAGTTTAAAACGAGTTGGAGCAGCATCTTTTCGCAACTTAACAACTTTTCCAGATCTGTCAGAAAAGCTTTCCAGAAAGTGATCTGAACACAGCCTGCTTTTCGAGCTAGGTGTCCAACGTTCTCTGTGTATATTTTTAATAGATACCTTTCTTCTTTCAAGATCAGCAGGGAATCTTGTCAAAAGTAAAAAAATCGTTGCTATTTTTACCGTTGATCAAGTAGAAATGTAGAAAAAAGTGCACTACACGCATAACCTCCCTCATTACCATTATTCTAAGTAAATTTGTGTGCATATAAGGTAATTAAGAGCTTACCGATGAAACGTCCGTGGAAACTGCATTTTAATGGAGGTTTCGTCGTCAGATGGCCCTTCGTTACTGCTCCGATTGAGCTCGTCGTCTTCCTCATTCATTTTTTTTGCGTTTTGTATAGCCATATGCGCAGCATTGAGTGCCACGATTGTCTGGCATTTTTTAAAGATCGATAATCCGTTTTTGCACTATATGCTATTAGCTTTGATATTTTGCAAACCTCAGACTAAAGTACGAAATATGTATATCTCTATCTTTCGTGCCAATTCAACAAGCTGATCTCTATAATGTCTATGACTTGTTTCATCATAATTCTACAATAATTATCTAGTTAAAAACAATGTACAAAACACCATTTCATTAGCTAAAATTATATAAGACATAAGTGTATTGTTCCATTTCAAGTGGTCATTTCTTACATAAAACTAACAAAATGAAAATGTTACACTGAATTAGTCATGGAATTGAGTAAACTGGAATATAGTATTAATCATGCAGTCCTTTTTTACATTCTTTCTACATTATGACAACAGTCAACACCAAAGCTCCAGAGGCAGCAATAGTGAAAATAATTATCGTCTTCGAATAGCATGTAAACACCTTTAAATCAACAATTTTTAATTCAAGAGAATTTATTGGTACTTTCAAGACTATACAACAGATTTCGGCTATGTCATTACTGACCTGATCATCTGAAATTACAAATTTAATTTATAAAACCTGGGAATTTTTTTGCAAAAAACGTATTTTTCTATTCTAAATACATAATTTAGACTGCTCATACAGTAAAGTTGTAAATCCAATGAAAAAATGTGATTATTTTAATAGAACAGGCATATCACATAAATCAGTCAGAAATTGACACAGGTTACTAGCACAAATTAAATATTTTGTCCAGAATAAATAAATTTAGGTTTGATGTTTTCAATAACAACAATGTGTAGAAAGTTTTATATGCATATACATGACTGAATGGTAAAAAAAGACAATCAAAAGGTTGAAAACAGCAGCATAACATCACCATAACAGTATATTAAGCACTGTGGGTAGTGGCCATACATACCACTGGTTTAGACTATGACAATACATTGCTTATGTATATGTGTAGAACACAGTCAATACTACAAGTCTGGTGACTCTTCTTGCTTTAATAAGTAAATTTTTCCCCGTGTTGGACAGAGTGTAATGTATCAACCTGTGTTATCAACAGTTTCACAAGTGAACTGCTATTTTTACTTTTCAAAAAATTTGGTGTAACAGAGGTAGACTCTTCACATTTTTTCTGTAAATAATTTCTGAACGTATTAATTACTCACATCTTGACATAGCTATATTCCTTTGCCGACCAGAAACACCAGAAAAAAAATGCATTTCTGGTACAATAATCCAGTGCAATATTCAATTTTGTACAGTGAACAATATACTTTATATAAATCGTGAAAAATCTTTCAAACTGTAATATCCAACTCGTTTTACTTAATAATAAATATTGGAAGATAATTGCACGACGTTCGATTGAACATTTTGTGGCAGATTGTGCTGTAATAAGATATTTAGATGTGCAAATTCCAGTATTCCAAGCTTTTGTTGCTGCAGATGCTTTCAAATGGAGCTACTCTTGAAATCAATTTTACGGCGATGTATTGGCGTATTCTGCAATCTTTTTCTTGAAAAACTATGGTCACATTTATTTTTTTTCATTAATAGAGTAAACCACTTTATGTAACCGTCGTGACTTGCAAGTAATTGCAAGATATCAGCTTTGACCAAATATTTTCTAATACAACGCCATATTGATTCTCACTGCTTTGGGTCTCCGGAAGTAAATTTGCCCGGCGTCAATCAATACTTATTAAAGCCGTTGCACTATCTCGTGTATTATGAGATGTGTGATTGAAACCCACACAACCACACATTTCCTGTACACGCAATACGATGACGTATGAACCAGATAACAAATACGGCTAACTCGTTGTTTACAACTCACTTGACTCTGAAGATGACTACCGCTAAGGTTGTGAAAACGTCAGGCTACACAATACCAACTGTCCTTCTAAGGACTCTACTAACGTGGACGATCTTCATCCACAAACATGTTACGATACTCCCGGGCTCAAACCATTCACTTTATTACAAATATTTGTAGATTTTAAAGTTTCGTTTAGCCGACGTTGACACCTGAGGAGTTGTCTGCCGAAATGAATCGTGTCGTTTATTTTCATAACAGTTCTTTTAGAACGATTGAGTTAGTGTTCTATGCTTAAAACAGTTCTTTTAAGAGCTATTAACTTATTACTTTTACCATTCACCATGGTATTTGCGATCTTTAAAAGGATTTTCAAATATATGTTTATATATAGCAGGGATGCATATTTGCTTGTTTCATTTTATCTGAAAAGGCTTGGAAAATCTACACAGTTTTACACCTCTTGTTTAATTCAAATATCAAATTTCAAGATAACTATTTTCTCCGGAATCTGCTTTTTCTTAAACAGGGATAACTTATGGGAAGTTAGGATTAGTAATACGATGGTAGAGAAAGAGCTATGACAAAATATGTTGTCTAAACGGAATGAGCTAGCATCGCAATACAAATATAATTAAAAGTGCGTAGTCTAAGCTGTAAAACAACTAAAAATACGATCATTGACCGTGGAAATTCTTCAAAACGAGTAAACAAAAACATTTAGATATTAATATATAAAATATATAAAATACTTACTCATTTCAAGAGTGTGATGAAACATTTACTTTGCTCTATTTGATAAGCCAAGCGTTGCGGAAATGTTAGGAATGTCAACAAAGCAATCAATTCAAAATACCTGCGAAGAGCAGTGGCGTAGCTAGCGAAAAACATTTGGTCGGGCTCACGAGGCGCCACCATGGTTGGTGCGGAGCGAGAAAATTTTCCGAATTTAGACTCCCTAGAACGTCGGAAACGGCTATCTTAGAAAGCAAATGCGTGATATTTATGCAGGAAATAGAACCGTTTTGGTCAATTTAAATTGCCGAAGGTCTTATAGTAAAGCAGAGAAATAGTTCAAAAATAGTTGCAGATATGTGATATATTTTCTCAACACCACATACATAAATAGATACCTATGTACATCTTGTAAAGAAACTTTGACAAAAGAACCGAAAAAGGCTCAGATTTGTCATCAACAACCATCAAAAGTTGTGATGCCGTCCATTGTCGTGCTGAAATGACAATCATCATTGCCTGCATTAAAAAGTTCCCGGAAAAATTCTCACATGCCATGGACGTAAGACATCATCAGCTTGCTATCAGCCATATATGAATACGTATTTGTATAAGAAAGCAAGTCTTCGTGGTTTTTCAATGAACTTCTTTACTACCTCATCATGCAATGTGTTGGCGTCTTCTTTCTCTGACAGTATGTCTTTGTGAATGGAAATCCTGCAAAGAGAACTAAAACGTCCTTGGCTCATAGTATTTCTAAGATAATTTTTTACCCTCTTCAAACAAGAAAATGACCTCTCAACTGAAGCACTTGTAATTGACAAAACCCCATTCATCTTTAACAGTTTTACAACTTCTGGAATACTAGATTGAAGATGGAACTGAAAAATATATTTCAATAGTTCATCGCATGAAACACGGTGAAAGTCTTTATCTCTGTAAATAAAACAAAGTTGGCTAACTAGCATTGGTATGTCAAACATATCACCATAAACCTCCTTTAGAAGATTTATCTTTTCTGAGGGCACTTCACCTTTCCACATTTTAAACACCCTAGGGTTAACAAGGTCTAAAAATCTAAAACACTCCATATCCTGAAATCGCTCAGTCAGCATAGTCACAATTGTGTCAAGAATTTCAAAATACAGTTGTTTGTAATTATGCGGTTGGTCATACCTGGTTACTGGTGGTCCCACTTTCTCAACAGCCAGGTCGTACACCTGACAATATTCTGTATCATTTCTCAGAGAAGCAACAAAGGCCTTGAATCTCTCAACCCTGCTCACTCCATAATGAAAGTCAGTGTCCTTGTCTTGCAAGATAGAATAAAGTATGGATGACTGCTCAAGAATTCTATGGAAAACAAGTACCAATAAACAAAACAAGAAGCCATTAAGGTAGCCAAGTAAACCAGTAACCTTACTTAACGTTTCATGATCCCAACCTATTGGATTATCAGTAAGATTTTCAAATATGTCTATCAGTTTCTCATAGTTAGAATGCAAAACATTGATGACATGAGCCCTATAATACCATCTTGTGTCACCAGGACTAGGAAACTCAAGCCTATGGGATGATAGTAAAGCTTTTCTTTTTGGGGAATTGCTAGTAAAGGTGCAGAAAGCACTAATATTAACAAAGAAAATCTTAACAGGTGAAATGGAGGATGCAGCTTGACATAATACTAGATTTAGTCTATGGGCAGCACAGTGAACAAATTGAGCATAAGGATAATCCTGCTGAACTTGAGCTTGAACACCATTGAGATGACCAGACATAACAGATGCACCATCATAAGTCTGTCCAATAAATTTCTCTTTCACATTATTATATTGACTTAACTTACCCTTAACCACTCCACAACTAAAGCTGGATTTCCACTTCCCGGTAAGGACGGTAACGGTAAACGGTACACATGAAGGAAATTTTCCGTTTATTAATTTCCTCTTGTTTTGGCGGACATTTTAAAACAGATGCGCATCATCATGGCTAAACTTAAAACAAAAACATTACTGATGCTGTTGCTATTGAAAAGAAGAATGCAACTGCGAAAAAAATACAAAAAGAGAATGTGGGTTCGAAGAATATTTCAGGAAAGAAAGCAAAAAGGAGAGTTTCACCTTCTTGTAGAAGAGATGAGACTTTTTGATAGGGAATACTACTTCAAATACTTCAGGTAGTCCGTATCCCAGTTCGAAGAACTTTTGCAGCTTGTTGCTCCTAAAATCGCCAAGTGCAGTGAGAAAAGAGAACCAATATCTCCGAGTGAGCGGCTCTCAGTTACTCTAAGATACTTGGTCACTGGAAACTCTCACGCTTCGCTGTCAAGCAATTTCCGTATACATCCTACAACTATCAGCCGTGTTATAAGAGAGACCACGGCAGCTATTTGGGATGTTCTTTCACCCATTTACGTTAAGTGTCCCGAAAGTGAAGTCGAATGGAAGAACATTGCGAAAGATTTTAATCGCAAATGGAATTTTCCACATTGCTTGGGGGCAATTGATGGCAAGCATATAGTCATGCAAGCTCCAGCAAGATCAGGGTCGAGTTTCTTTAATTATAAAAACTCACTCAATTGTTCTTTAGCAGTGTGCGATGCACAATACCGGTTCACCCTCGTAGATATCGGAGACTCGGGCAGAAATAGTGATGGAGGCGTTTTTTCTAGTAGTAATCTAGGATATGCAATAGAACATGATCTTTTGGATCTACCCAGAAATGAGAAGATACCTGGATCAGAAAACAAATTTCCTTATATTTTTGTTGGGGACGAGGCATTCCGTTTGTCTGAGCAACTGATGAAACCCTACCCGCGCGAGGTACTCTCTTTGAAAGAGAGGATTTATAACTATCGTTTGTCTAGAGGATTTATAGCTAGGAGGGTCATTGAAAACTCATTTGGCATAGCTGCTGCACGTTTCCGAATTTGGCGACGCCCCATTATTGGTAAAGTTGACTTGGTCGTTTGTACAACAAAAGCAGTTGTGGCATTGCATAATTACTTGATGCATGGCAAATCTTTTGAGGCAAGTAGGTACTGTCCTCCAGGTTTTGCAGATACCGAAAACAACTATGGATTTAAAAAAGGAGCCTGGCGCAACGAAGTAGAAGCATTTCATAGCACAGCTGGGTTGGCTGACATTCAACAACTTGGTTCTAATAATTACAGTAAAATAGCCAAGAGAATACGAGAAAATTTTTGTGATTATTTCATGTCTGAGGCAGGGCAAGTACCATGGCAATTGAAGCATGTCACAGCAACACATGAATAATACAAGTTATCTTTAACTGGGTTTGACAATTGTTGGAGCATTCATTAATGAAACATGTACATATGAGTAAAGTAGAACATATATAATGTGCAGAAAGTTTGTAATTTCTTAAGTTTTAAGTATGCTAGTTTTCTAATAAACTTGTATAAAAATACCCACATATAACCAGAATTTTAATGCTCTAATCGTGATAAGGCCTTCAGAAAAAGCAACTGTAATTATAAATGACAAAACAACAAGCATCAGTTGAAAACCAATTTACCTTCAACAAAACACACTAGAATTAAATAAAACAAGAACTTAAACATCAAAATGGTATTTATAGTTCCAGTTAATGCAGTTATATAGCATGCAGTTAATCATTCATCACCAATGTCAAAGCTCATTAATACCTCTAAAAGTTTGATTCTAGCTCTCTTGTTCTTCTTAGATGAGAGTTGTTTTAAAGGTGCCACCAGACTTTTACAAAAAAGTAAATCAGAATCATTTGTGTCTTCACCAGATTTATTAATGTCTTTGACTATTGCTGCAGTAAGAGCTGCATTCAAAGGGTCATCATCTTCTTTTCGTTTTCGAGTTTTCGTTGAGGCTGCTATGATTTCTGAGGATGGTTTGGGCTTGGGTGATGGATTTCTCATTCCAGGTGCAGCAATTGCTATTTCATTGGAACTGCCTGAGGATACTTGAGTTAAATCAAATGGTGACTATGATCGACTATCTGATAGTCTGGGTACATTCACATTGCTTTTGCTTGTTGATTTTCTATTAGAAACACTATCTCTAAGGAAACTCAATTCAACAAAGAAGGCACATGTGGGTAACTTTTTTGCTTCTGCTCCAGATCGTGATTCCAATTCTCTCTTTTTCAGACACTTTCGGAAATTTTCTCTTAACCTTTTGAACTCATTTTCTGCTTCAATTGCTGAAAAACATATGGGTAAAATAACTAATTGTTGTCAAAAGCATACCAAGTCACAAATTTAAAAAGAAAGCATGTGGTGTGCAATACTCGCAATATTTTTATACACATCTGGTTTAATAGCAAAAAAATAAAAGCATCTGCAAATGAGTTTATGAACAAAATATCAATATCATCTGAAGTTTTGCTATGGACTTTACATAACTAGGACAAAACTAACAATATGGTTTTTTAGATGTAATGCTAGGTATGCAAACACACAGGTATAAACACATGAAATGGCATGTAACAAAGTAAAAACATGAGAGATTTTTCATTTCTGGTTACCACAATAAACATGATAAGCTTCCTGCTTGTCATTTGTCAAAGGATGCTTTGTCATTGATGCATATTTAGATACTGTACCTTGCACATGGAGTTGCTCTGAAATTTTTAACCATGCTTGTTTCTTCATAACACTGTTCTTGAACACTTTGGACTTCAAATCCCATAGGCAAGGATAATTTCTCACTTCATCAATCAAATTACTACTGAAGTGATTCTGACTTTGTAAAGAGTACTTGCTCTCTTCGTTATGTCCAAAATTGTCTATCGTATTATCACTGGTTTAGCTAAGCAGTTGCTGCTCCTTGGAAACATCTTCAGTCGCCGTCGTCTTCTGCATTATATCTTGATCCAATATATACGTGGATTCTTCAGATCCAGTAAATATTTGGCTACCATAATAATTGACATGCGGATTGCTTCTCTGAAAACTTAATAATTTTGTGAGCATCAATTCAGTATTATCCGCCATCTTGCTACTACCCAGGAGTCAATTTTTGTGGTATAATTTGATTGGCTAAAAAGTGAAACGGTATGAATTCCGCGGAAAAAAGTTGACTTGACTTCAACTTTTAAA